GAGCTTGATGCGCTAGAGGATAGCGATGATGAGGGTGGCGCAGGTAATTCTGTCTTTGCTTTTCCTGTTATCAGGCCTCCCCCAATCCAGGGGGTGGCACAAGCACCATATGATGAAGGAATAGGTATAGAAGATATTGGTCGCTTGAAAAAGGCAGTGTCTTTATATGGACCTCAATCACATTATGTTAAGGAGCTAGTTAACGGTCTGGCTCGACATTATAATAATTTTTCTCCTGAGGACTGGAGGGTCCTCTGTCGAGCTCTTTTAAAGGAGCCTGAGTATCTGCAGTGGCAGATGTGGTTTTCTGAACTTTGTATGTATGTACATGTGGTAATAGATACATATTCTCAATTTATATGGGCCACAGCACAAAGTGGCGAAACTGCACAACATGTTATCACCCATCTCTTAGAAACTTTTGCTGTGATGGGTTTACCATCTATTATTAAAACAGATAATGGACCTGCATATAGCAGTAAAGAATTTCAAACTTTCTGTGAACAATATGGTATCATGCATAAAACAGGCATTGAATACAATCCTCAAGGGCAAGCCATTGTAGAACGTGCGCATAGTACTTTAAAGTTGCAAATTAAAAAATTAAAAAGGAGGAAAAAGGATCATATCTTAGCATTCACTCAATCAAATGCACGTTCTATTTTGCAACAAGCTCTGTTCACATTAAATTTCTTGAATCTTCCGCAGGGAGATATCCTGTCCCGAGCAGAAAAGCAGTTCATAGAGGGAGAGGTCGCTCCCCCTCCATTAAATGAACATATATGGCTTAAACCAACCGCAGATGCAGAATGGCAACCGGGGCTATTGCTTTATAGAGGGAAGGGTTATGCTTATGTCTCCACAGAGGATGGACGGACCTGTTCCTGGCTCCCTACGCGATGGATCCGGTCGAGGGCCAATTCGAACAGCACCGTATCCCACCAGACGACGGATGGGGAATCCAGACCAAGATGAACTTCCGTTACAGGCCATGGCACATCTGAATTTGGGAGGACGACGTCGCCGTCGGCAGATATTTGCTACTGCTTTGCCGACTTGGGGGCAAATTAAAAGGCTTAGTGGGGAAGGGCAAAAAATCCTGCAGCGAACGGGGAAGGCTTGTACGCCTGACAAATTATTCTTGGCTATGTGTGCCTTGCTTACTGTATCAGATGCCGCTGCGTTGGCCAATTTACTTCTTAAGCAACTTGAGGGACTAGATCCAAAAGGTATTATTCAGAGTTTGGGGCATACTGCCAGAGGAATGGGATTTGTACTACTGGTTGTTATCTTATGCTTTATGCTGTTGCATTTTTGCTATCTAAAGCCTTCCCAGAATTCTATGGCCATCCTTTGGAGGGCACTTTTATTAAAACAAAAGAAAAAAGAAGGAATTGAGATGGTGTAGGCTTGTAAGCCCCTTGCAGGCCCAGATCATTTGAGGACTGCACTGAGGTTAAGGACGGCCAGGCAGGCCTAGGCCAGCAGGAGAAAATGTTCTCTTCCCCTTACCTCATGTTGCAAGGCCTAAATGCCTGGATCAGCAGGAAGTGGCTCTTGCCTCGCTTAAAGTGTGTCTTTCTAATCAGAAGTGTTCTTTCTAAAGACAAAGAACATGTTGTCTCCAAAGGAAGGATGGCTAAGAGAATTCTTTATTCTGCAAGCATAAACAGGATGTATTTTGTTCTTATTGCATTTCGTGTATATTTCACTTCACAGATGTTGGCTTGATACATTGTTATGTTTATCTGATCTCTGCAAGTATATAGCTACGTGAGAAATAAACGGCAGTATGCAGTTGCAAGTGCTGCCTTTGCTCTGCATCCCCTGTGTCCTGGTGATTTCGTAGACCCTTACCCAGGGACCCCAACGCACTAGACGTTGACAGGTGATAAGCTTCAATTTCCTCTTCTGACAAATCTCCATTTAACTAGGAAGCTATTGAAGGAACACCTCTAACCACTTTTTACATAGCATTCTACCACTATGGGATTGAAGGGATGTATATAATTTTAACTCCTTTCACTCTCCTACACAATGGTTTTCCAAAGCATCAATGATAGGACTCTAGATTTTTCTTAACTGTACCCAAAAAGAATCTAGCAGGAATGTCAATAGATATTATTTGATATTGAAGACAGTACTAATAGAAAGTTAGAAAGTTTGATACACAGAACTATGCTACAGAAATGTAGCTTACAAAAATAAATAAATAAATAAATAAATTGACAGGTAGCCGTTTGCTTTGGCCTTTCCATGATTCTGTTCCACATTTCCTTTCTCATCTAATAGATTTTTGAAACATCAGTGGATATGGACATTAATTAAACTTCAAACAAAATATTTGAGAGTAGGATTTTGAGAAAAATTAAACGTACTGATCATGAGAGAAATTAAGAGACTTAATGATCTATGACAGGACAAATCACAAGGAGTACATAGAAAACAAAACAAAGCATAACAGAGCACAGGTAAGAAGAGTCTTTTCAAAACATAAGAACATCTTACTATTTAAACAAATGATACTGTTTAAAAAAATGTATACTTTACAACTTGTGATTTCTAGGAAAAATAAGTAAATTGTGTTCCAAAAACAATTTAAGAAAATATACACTTGGTGATACAAGAGTTTTTTTTTTAAGATAAGACAGCACACTCAATTGAAGTAAGATGATATGAAGTAGATAGGAAAGAAAGGTATCAGAGAAGGATATCAGGTAAGGAAAATTAAAATGCAAAAAATTTAAGTCTGCATTGGAAATAATAAAAATCCATAAACAAAATGGCAATGATTGAATCTGTGATATAGAAAAAAAAAAGTCCCAGGTTAAGTGGAAAAGAAATAAAATTACTGGGGAGAAAAGGAATTTATGGCTATGGAACACACATAGAATCACAAACATGAATACATACTAAAATATATATCCCAAAACTAAAGGACTAGAATAATGGAAAAGGGAAGAATTTTTTTTAATTCTCAATAGATAAAAACTTTCCTAAGTAAAAGAAATACCTAGTTGAGATTGTTAAAATGAATCTCCCAAGTATTAAGTTAGAAGAAAGGAAAGTAGCAATCAGATTGTATCCTGGTAAGCATTTTCTTGAATTTCTTTGTTTTGTTTTTTTTTTTAAAGCATACATTTTAAAAAGAATACATTTTGAATTTTTTTAAAGATTTTATTTATTTATTAGAGAGAGAGAGAGAACATGAGCAGTGGGGTGGAGCAGAGGCAGAGGGAGAAGCAGGCCCCCCACTGATCAGGGAGCCCAAAGTGGCGCTTGGTCCCAGGACCCTGGGATCATGACCTGAGCCAAAGACAAACGCTTAATGACTGAGCCACACAGGTGACCAACATTTTGAATTTCAAGATGAATGTTCCAGTTATTAAGCTGCCCTCACATTCTCTCACATTCTCTCTTCTATACTGTACTTCTCTCTTCTATACTGTACTCTTTGATGTCGGGCCAGCAATTCTGCAAACCACTTTTCTGATTTGCCACCTGGTTCCATTTTTGGCATTCATGGATACAAGAGAGAATCTGAAAGACTAAGGGCTAGGCCTCCCCTAGGGGGAGGTCTTGCTCCTTGTTTGTTTCATGTTCCTATGAGTATCACCCCATCCTTTCTTTTTGTATCCAGTTGGCAGTTTTTAACACTTACAAAAATCAGCCTTATTGAGACCCCTCAGTTGGCAATGAGACCATCCATTTGGCAGTTTTTCTTTGTCTGAGATGCTGTTCCTACCAATCCTACATCATAAATGTATCAACTAAAGGAAACGACTCCCACCCCTAGTGCTGAGGAACAAAAAGAACAAATTATAATAATTAAGATTTTGAAGTTTGGAGGAGGAATTTATGTAGTTGAAGCCCAGACATGTGTCACTGGGCCACTGTTTAGCTAGAGCTGGTGTCTGTGACATGAAAGAGGGACCCTTAGACTGGGACCCTGAGGCCTTGGGAGAAGGTGCCAGTCTGCTGGTGCTGATGGTTCTGAGGGGTCTCAATAAGGCTGATTTTTATAACTGTTAAAAACTGCCAAATCGATGATGCAATGCCAACTGTAAATTCAAAGGGACTGAGGGGCTAGAGCTTGCCATATTTGAGGCTGAAGCAAAGAGGAAAGAAAAAAGTAGAGTAGGCAGGGGCAAGATCCAGTGGGTCCCTTTAGGTGAAGATAGGCCCTGTATCCTATTTGGAAAGAGAAGGCCTTGAAGAGGAATAACATTTGATTTGTATTTGTAAAAGGATTGTTCTGGCTGCTTTGGCAAATGGACTGTAGGAGAAAGAGAAGTAGGGAAACCAGACTGGAAACATTTGCAGCTTTCCAGGACCAATGTGTCACTAACTTTGTTTAGGGCAGGAGGTTCTCATGGAAGTAAGAAGGAGCATATTTTGTCATCCCCACAGGATACGAGGCAAAGTCTGGAGACTTTCTGGTTGTCACACTGGGATAGAGGTAGAGCTGAGTCTAGTGCATAGAAGCCCAGAACTCCGCTGCACATCCTGCTGTGCACAGGACAGAGCCTCACCGCCAATAAAAGATTATCTGGCCCCAAATTTCAACATTATGGAGATGAAGAATTCCTGATTTAGGGTGATAGAAATGGAAATGGTGGAAAGTGGACACACTAGTATAATGATGCAAAAAATATATACTAGGCACCAAATTTTAGTAGCATTTCAAAAGCTCCTCAGATGATTTTACCAGAAAGTATGCAAGTATGCAGATCTCTAGTGGAAATAATTCTCACGAGATATATTCGATGCTGCTTTAACTGGCAATTAATGTGAAGTTTTAGTTTCTGTTTTATATGGCGAGACAACCAGAAAAATATGCAATCTTGATTCATCAATTATCCATGAAGACTGAATTAAAGAAAAAAATAGCAATCTTAAAATATTTAAAGAGATTTTTATTGAGTCGGCTTACTAAAAGTTATTTTAAAAAGGATACTCAAAAAATGTGTATTCAGATAAAAGAAGAAAAATCTACTCACTTGCCATTCAGTGCTGCTACACCAACTGTACTTCGGGCAATGGACATACTGGCTACAAATGTCCATTGCTGACTCTGGGGATCCCACCTCTCCACTGTATTCAGATAGCTCCAGCCATCATGGCCCCCCACAGCATAAATAGGACCTTCAAGGACTGTTACACCTAAAACAGGGGAGAAATGAAAACTGAATGGATTGATTTCACAGTGAGATTTAAAAAATCAGATTAATAGTAAAAACCGTGATGCAATTCAGGGTAAGCTCTAGCTATCACCCAATAGCAGTAGGGTAGAATCTATTTACTATTAGCAGTATCATTTTCTTAAAGTGCAAAAAATTTAGAACCAAAAATATGATCTAGATGCTTTATAAAAGAAAATGAACTTCCTTATTTATGTCTCTATGAAGAAACAAATTCTAAAAATCAGAGATGATGCATATTGTGCCTCTACTTTTGAAGAACATTTCCACTCTGCAGTTTAAAGTAGTTTATTACTTTAAGCAATGTTACATTAAATCAATGCAATATTATCAATTTGAAATTCAGGGTAGGATTTTCTGTGTTTTGGCTTCTCAGTAACTCCATGATGAAGTTATCTAAAGGTTATGATGCATTTCATATTATAAGCTGAAATCACTAAACATAAGCATTTAAAACAAATTAATAGTGAGTCATCAATGGAAGGAGATTTTATATATATGTGTGTGTATATATATATATACACAGGTGTGTATATACACACACACACTCCTATATATTGCTTTTCCAGTATATTCACTGCTTTATAGATGAATTTTCTTAAATGCTAACAATTGCTAAATATTTAAATATCATGTTAATATTGGCTGAAATGATTTCATTATATATAGAGAAATTCTGACGAATTTTGCTCCCAAGTTCAAAGTCTGCTTGTCAAGGGCTTTGATGAGTCTGTGATTTTACCCTACTTGCTAGCTGATGAGTTAGACTGTCATAAATTTATGTATATTGGTATAAGATATGAGACTCCTGGGTCAGAGGAGAAAGGTAATTCATTACTCATACCAACAGCAAGAGTCAGAGTATCACTTTTTTTTTTTTTTTTGCTTGTTCTTCAAGCCCCGGTTCTAACAGGGTGACCCAAAGAGGATGACCAAGCTTTTAACATTAACATTTCCCTCAGCTTGACCAAAATTTAGACAGGATTCTTCTTGCTTCTAGGGTCCTGACCTCATTTTCCTTAGAGCATTTATTTTAGAAAACATGTAATTGCACATTATTTCTCTGTCCTTTCTAGATGGAAATCTTTTTAAATGCCTCCTACTTGTGTTACAACCCAGGAATTTCTTCTCAAGGACCTGGGAACTATTTCTTCGAAATGTAAGCATTAAGAAAGATATTGAGAGCCTAACTTCAGTTGGCCCCTTGCTTCAAGTTGTAAAACTACCTCTTATCATGAGATAGAAAATTTACCTCACCTTTGGGTAAGGCCAATTAGCAAACACAGATTGCCTATGAGCCACTGCGCCTACCAGAGCTCTTAAAAACCCTCCTGCCTTTGTTTTGAGTGAGGTTGAGTTCAGCCTCAATTCTGGCCTCTTTTCCCTGTTGCAATTGACTAGGGTCAGTTGGAACTTGAACGTGCAGTGAATTGTATTACGAGAAAGGAAATAACTTTTCAACGAGCAATAAACCTACATGCCTATTACTACAGAAGGAGACATCTTCATGCTTTTAAGCATGCCTGCCTTTCACTTTGGAAAGAAGAACTCTTTCTGTCTTAGCCATTCCGTTATATTAATATCCTTTTGGGCAGTTGGTGCCTTGCCTGAAAGTTGTACAAAAATGTGAGAGACCCATGGAGAATTGTCTTTCAACACGAACCTGAAAATAAATGACCCCTTGTTCATTCGTTCGTTCACTCATTCATTCGAATGTCTATTATGTGTCAGGAATTGTTCTTAGTACCACACAGTGCCAAGAACACAGAGGCAAACAAGGCAAACAAAGTCCCTGCCCTCACTGAGTACATATATATCAATTAACAAATATTTAACTAAAATGGAATAAGTACATTATTCACAGTAAGTCCTTCACACATATTATAGAATTATAATTTAATAAAGGATAAAGTAGTGCTTGCTTCAGCAGCACATATACTAAAAATAGGATAAAGTAACTAATTAGAATATCAAATTGCTCTCACACATATATTCAACTTAGGGATGTTATTTTACATACACCAGTAAATAGATATCCATATGGAGGACAGGGTTCTGACTCAGTGATTGCCAAAATCAAAGGGCATAAACTTTGGATGTTGATCTTTCTTTAGGCAGCTCAAAGTAAGAGATAGAAATCAGAAAGGATGAATAAGTCTTAAATATTTTCGGGGCAATTCTCAAAGGATATGGATATATCTTATGGGCTTTTTATAGAAATATGTACAATCATTCACATCTCAATAATAATTAATTATATCAAGATCAATTTTAAACATCAGTGAAGTTTTTAAAGATATATCCATCAGAAAGGGCCAGATCATGCATGAATCTAATGAATTTGGATTTTATTCTAAGAGCAAAGGGAAATCACTGAAGTGTTCATCAGTGAGGGATATGGTCACCATGATATTTATTTTGGTTGTGTTGTAGCAAACGGATTGGAGTCAGTTTAGGTGGCAGTAGAGAGATGATTAGGAGGGAATTGAAGTTATCCAAAAAGGAGAAGATGAGAGCTTGCACTAGTAGGTTAAAGAGTAAATACAGAAAAGTAGAAATATTTGAGATTTATTCTGACTCTGGAGATTTGTTCTTAGAACATGCTAATGGATTGGATCTTGGTATGTGAATAAAAAAGACAATTCACGGATAGATGAATTGATTGAAAATTTTGAGAACTATATTTTGAAGATATCATTTTTGAGGAGACTATCAGACATCTAAGTGGAGCATTTAAAAAGGCTGTTTAATATGTATGTCAAAAGATCAAGTCAATGTTGGAGCTACATGTCTAAATTTTGGACATACATGTCTAAATTTTGGCATTTAAAGGCATAGAATCAAATAAGGTCAATTAAGAAAGTAGTATTAAGAGAGAAGGTAACAGAGACCAGAATCTAGCCCTGAATGGCTTCAATATCAATTACAAGAAAAGAGAACAAAAGAGACAGAGAAAAAATGGCCAGATAAGTAGAAGGAAAACCAGAAATTTTGGTATCTGAAAACTAAGAGTGGAGAGTGTTTCTAAGGGGATGGGGTAAAGTTTTCGTATTTCTGACCAAGTACAAACTTCTGTTGGATTTGGAAAGAGGGAGGTTATTGTTCACTTTCAAAATAGGTTCTGGAGTATTACATTACAAGTTGTAATACAATCTGATAACTACTTTATCAAATATATATCCTACAAAAATCATTGATCTGTGACTTGTTTTTTTAACTGTTTGAAATTATTTGACTTTATGAACATGTTTCAGTCCTAGAGCATATATAAAATGCCACAGATTTATGAACCTGGATGCCTTACAATGTGATTTGCATATTTTTTGCAGCTGTGATGATAAGTGGACCAGAATAATTTCAAAATTAGAATGATACATTCAATTTCTTCCTTATGTTTACCAAAAATATCTTACAGATGCAGTAAAGCAAGGTTAACAGTCTAAAAATATTTTTCTGTGCTTTGTTCAGTAACAATATTGAACCTCCACTAAAAAAATAATAATTTAATTGAAATATTTTTGTATGTCTCAAGGTTAGTAATTGCATGACTACTTCTGATAATGAATTTCAAAATGTCTTCTTGATGCTTTATGTTACCAAATTGTACTTCTTCAAAACGCATAATTACTTACATATTTTACACTATGGATCTTGCACATTTTATTCCCCTTAAGACTTCTGCTGTAAAATATTTATTACAATTTTCCCATATAGAGGCGCCTAGGTGGCTCAGTCGGTTAAGCATCCAACTCTTGATTTCGTCTCAGGTCACGATCTCAGGGTCCGGAGATCAAGCCTGGCATCGGGCTGTGCTCAGGGCAGAGTCTCCTTGTCCCTCTCCCTCTGCCCCTCCCCCCATTCACACTCACTCTCTAAAAATAAATAAATGAATATTTTAAAAAATAAAATAAAAGCAAAATTTAATTTTACTCACACAATTTACCTCAAAATATTTATTTTACCCTTTCTGTATCAATACAACCAGACACTTAATTTGTTCTCCTGAAAAAGAAATTATTACTCTTCTCTACACTTGTTAATATCATCCAATTAATATATTGCTAAATTTATTCTAAGCTCTAAACTTTCCAAATTAAGAACATCATATATTTTTTTTTTAGTTTATTTGACAGAGAGAGACACAGCGAGAGAGGGAACACAAGCAGGGGGAGCGGGAGAGGAAGAAGCAGGCCTCCCGCGGAGCGGGGAGCCGGGTGCAGGGCTCCATCCCAGGACCCCAGGATCATGACCCGAGCAGAAGGCAGACGCCCAACTACTGAGCCACTCAGGTGCCCCCAGAACATCATATTTTAATTAAAAATTATGGCAACATAAAGCCAGTTCTTAATATTGCTTTATTGTTTGCATTTTGCCATTAATTACATAATTTGAAAAGCATTAGCTTGTAAAATATGAGGTTTCCTTTTGTCTGTATAGAGTATTTTTAAATGAATAATAATACATTTAAATTTCTTTTGACTTAATCATTATGTCAAATAAATTACTATAATATTACTAATTATTATCTTATAGAAGTCTCAAAATATATTTAAATTACCAGTGCCTTCAATATGTATATTGTCTTCTAGACATGAATTTATTTTTAAACTTTTTTTCTAAACTGTTTTTAAAAATCACCATCAAGGATATAGTAGCACCTAGTAAATACTTATAACTAATGATCAGGCTAATTTAATTCCAGTATTACCAAATAGTTTTACTTCAGAAGCCATGAAACCCTAAATAATAGTTCATTTAAGGATTTTTGTTCTGTGCAAAGACTTGAAAGAAAAATAACATACCTAATTGGGAATGGAGAAACAGATAAGTAAAATTATATACATTTTATATACATTACACATTTTTCCCCAGTGATATTAAATACATGTGTGATACATATATTTATGTATGTATCACACATATACACACATATTACATATGTGTGTATATGTGTGATATACG